TTATAAATACATCTTTCTCGTTAATAGATATTTGATGTTAAGTCATAAATGTCAAAGCAGTGTGACAAATAATCAAGAAGAATTAGGTTTTGGAACAAATTAGGGATGAAGCGTGCAAAAGGCACTGATCAGTAGAAGATTACTTTTGTCTTTAAGTATAGTGACGTTCATCATTATGTCCTGGAATGTGCATCATATCACCTAGACCCCTAGATAAGACTCCTGCTTCTCCTGCTGCTCAGTGTGGAAGAGGGAAGTGATTCGAAATGCCACTGTAAAGCTGTTCTGTATCTGAGCCTGTAGTCATTGTTCACACATTGACAATATTCTAGTCTCTATAGATACAGTAACACATTTGTATGGGTAGAAATGGACTAAGTAAAGTGTGTAATTCTAGAGGAAATCATATTTGACTTACCCAATAAATTAAAAATGAGTAGAAAATTAACTTTTCATTAGCACAATAACCCGAAGCTCAAGTCCAGATCCACACTGAAGAGGTCTATCAAGAAGAGACTGAATGTCCTTGAGTGTCCCAGTCCCAGTCAAAGCCCAGACTTGAATCCCATAGAAAAGTGATGGAGAGGCTTGACAGCTGAAGTTCATAATCAATCCTCAACAGACCAAGTGAGGACTGAAGCAGTTTTACCAGGAAGAACAAACACAATTATAGTACAACATCCTGCTGTTCACATCTGAGGGAGATGTACTGTATCCAGGAATGTTGACAACAGTACTTACTGCCAAATCTGCTTCTCAGCAACGACTGCCTTAGGGTACTGAATACTGATGCTTCGGTAAATGTCACGGTCTATATCATCCTCGAAGGTTTTACTGGCAAATGCCTTTTTCCCCCTGTTTTCCTCACTTACCCCGGATCATGTCGTCTGCATAGGGTCCTGAAAGAACACTTCCATTACAAAATGACAAAGCCCCAAAACTGAGACTTGATGAACTATTGTGGAGTGAATATTTGGCTTAACCCGCTTTGCTGAGGGCTGACCTCCTGGCCATAGGACGAGGAGGCCAGGACCCCCCCACAAGGTAACCAAGGGGTAGCTGCAGAGGTAGAGTTGGGGTGGAGGTGGGAAGCAAAGTCGCACGCAAGGGAGAGGGAGATATCGCATTTGGTATTTATAGCATTTGGTGGAGGAAGGATGAAGGGAGTGATTGCTAATCGCTGACGGCTGGGGATGATTGAGCGTGGTTGTTGTCCTCCCTCCAGAACTTTAGTTAAATAAACTCCGTATATCAGAAAAAAATGGGATAAATTTGTCTTTAATGTGAAATTAATAACTATGGATAAGACTGAGGATTTCTTATAATGACTACAAGTAACAGAATACAGTATGAATTTGAAAAAAACTTTTAATATCCCACTTTATTAATTCTGTTTTCATGTTTGAACACGTGCATGAAACTTTTATTTTCCCTGTTGTTTAAAAATAATATAAATATTAAATTTTTGCATTACACCAATTTTTTTTTATGTCATTCAAACCCCATCTACACACTGTTCTGATTGACTGAGTGTGGACTGTGGGCTCAGGATGATCTGGGATATTACACAGGGTCACTATAAGCTCAGACAGTAGAGACAGTGAGAGACTGTAGGTGTGAGATGAGAACTTCAATTACATCACTGTTCTTTTATTAACACAGACTTTCAGATTTATAAACTGGGCTTTACGATCTTGTGTTTGAGCTTTCCTTCTGTTATGGAGTGCATGACCGATTATTTTCAAATTAGCACAATTGAATTAAGTGTATGAAATACATACAAATACAAACATGTTTATGTTATACCTAAAAATATTTTTGTATATTTTATACTGTGTTTAATTATTACAAAATATTTTAATTCAGGGCATTTCAGGAATCCTTCTTTAGGTGCTTAGAAAGAAATTCAACCATTGGCACAGAGGAGACAAATGCCAACAATCTGCAAATGAACTGCAATGCGTTTTGGTGGCTTTATCAATGTACTATTGAACAGCGCAGGAATCGGTGATCTGTCTCCCTCTTTTGGTCAGTGTTGAAAACTGCAGTCTTCAATGATTGTGCTTCTATTGTTCTATGTAACAATAAACACACCAGGAGAATCATCAAGAGCTTCAGTGTCTTCAGGCTCCTGATTCATCTGATTGTCATTCTAACAGATCCAGTGTCCTTTGAACAGCCAGTCACACATGTTAATAAGAAATTAACTCTACTGCCTAAACAGCAGCTTTTGCTTTCTCTTCTATATTTAACATATTATCTACATAGCTGTTAAAAGCAAAAAATATTCATATTTTTCACAGTCTCAGTCCTCTGTGGTTCCTGTTGATGAGCTCCTGTAGAGCTGAGGGAGGTTTTTGTACAGACGTGTATCACTGTGTGAATGGAGTGCTGTAGCTCTGCTGACAATAATAATCTCCTGCATCTTCAGTCTGGACTCCAGTGATCGTCAGTGTAAAGGCTGTTCCAGACCCACTGCCAGTGAATCGATCAGGAACCCCAGACTGACGGTTTGTTGCAACATCTGTGCAACAGCTGTGGAGCCTGACCAGGTTTCTGCAGGTACCAGTTGAGCTCATTGCTAAAAGACTGACTGGCTGTACACCTGATAGAGACAGAGCTTCCTGGGAGAACAGACTGAGCTGGAGACCGAGTCAGAACAATCTGCCCACTGGACTCTGGAGGTGAAATAGCAACAATAATTAATTATTAATACATACTTAATATAAACACTTGTATAATATATTTGCCCTAGAAAACACATTTGCTACATTTCTATTGATGTTTTTTAAATTTTAGGTTTATTCTAAATTGATACCAAGTTCTTTAAAACTTAGGTTAATATTGTGAAATTAATATTAATAAAATAAAGATAAGAGAATTAGAGTCATATTTTCTTTAACCCTCACCTTGAGCAAAGAGCCCCAGTGTCACCAGCAGTAGAATCAGTGGCATCATTGTCCTGTGTGTGTTAGTGACTTTGAAAGGGCTGAACAGTGACTGATCGACAATGAGCAGTGAGGCAGCACAGGTATGCAAAGCTCCTTCCTGTATACAAATCCTGTTACAGACAGTTAGAAAAGGCCTGAGCTGGGAGGACAGGTGCAATCTGCAAGGGCTGGGTCTGTTGTTATGTGTATATAATATGTAGTGCACATACCGCTAGATCAGTACTCTGACGTTAGAGCTCTACCACATTTAGACTGTGCATATTCACCTCTTAAAAACAAGCCTTTTCTCTAAACATTCTGAAAGCACTGATCCAGTGGAGACTCGCCTTCCATGGAGGTCCTCTTGCCAGCACTTGGGGATCCCAGTCCTCCGCTGGCCTTGCTACAGAACCTGCTATTCCTCTGTCTGTTTACTCCCGGTGAAAAATGATATAAGATGTGAAGAAGGGGTTAACTGATTCCTTTCTGCACAAGGACTTCTTCTGACACAAGACATTCCAGGCTTTGAGTAATGACAGGGTTGGGGGTTAAATGATAAGAATTATAGATGCAAGCTAGAGACCCCCCAACTAAGGAAACCTAAAACTGACCATTAAGAATGGTCAAAGTCTGGTAACTGTCTGAACACTGTGACCTCTCCCCAT